ACCTACTGAGTCAGAAAGAAGTGGGTCTTTTGTTTGTTGTTTTCTTGCTGATGACAGAATTTAGACATATTGAGAGGGAGTAACAAAGGAGACCAGTATTGTTAAATCTGGTTGCTGTGATACGCTTGTGGGTTAACCTATGCTTGGGGAGGGACAGAGTCAAGGAGAAGGTTGATGATACTACTGTATATTTTCAATACATAATAATTTTTTCAAATAAAGTTTTTGTTGTGATCCTTAGCTAATTCTTCTGACATAGATATCACTCACAAAAATAGCTGGTCCTATCCCTCCTCCTCTCTTGCCTCCTGAGGGGCAGAAGTCTAATCACTGCAGCTCATCTGAAATGAAGCTGCACTGTGCCTGTCAAGTGCCCTGGGACTTTAATGTTGGTAGAACATAAACCTCAGCCTGTAAGCACCAGGCTGTGCTGATAGAGCTCTGACAAAGGGAGGAAGCAAAGAGCATAAGCACAGGCCCCAGGGGAGGGAGGCAGAGACATGGTAGGCCCTCGGTAACAGTTATTGCAGAAATCCAAAGTAGAACAGAAGTCCCCCATCTCCCTCCTTTTAGTCCAGGAAATGAAAGCTGAAACTGGGTTACTATAGAGATCAGACTCCGCAGTTGTAATATATTCTCCCTTATAAGAAAATTCTCTGCATTTGAGCACATTCTGTGGTTTAAAACCCATTCTCAGTGTGCATGCATGCCTGCAAGATGCTACCTACTTCCCCAGCTAAAAACATTCACTAAATTATACAGATTTGCTGTAAAAACCCTAGATACTGAGACTTAACTCTGTGTTGGTCTGTCTGAAGCCAGGGGTACAGCTGTAATGCTGCAGGTGTGTTTAACATTGAATTCCTGCCCGGAGTGTTTCTATCAAAATCAGGTGAGGTGCACAGTGCCCATGAGGTGGGCACTGTGACCACCATTGTGCTCTTAGACCTGTAAGGCCAAGAATTTACTACAGGTTTCCTCTACTAGTGCTTATTTAGAGGATATCTTCCTTTTACACTGTTGTTTACCATAATTCAGCAACAAGAAAAGCAACACATCCTTGGAAATCACGAAGAGGCCAAGAAAAGGAACTTCACCTCAAAACCGCATAGAGCTAACCCCCTTTCTCTTTGTTCCTTTATTGCTGAATTTGCCTCAGAAAAGGACTACACACAAACAAAATAAGCATACTTGCATTCAAGCCCTACATTTTTTTTCCCAGAAACTCAAGGCTATTAATAGCTCCCACTGACAACTAGATCAGCCCTCTGCTGAGACAAATAATGGAACAACTAGTGACTTAGCAAAACAGCGACTCAACAGGGAGGAAGATGACTGTGGCGCTCACATATAATCCTCCTCCTGCAGCTGGCTTCTGGTTCAACAGCCACCATGGATTTCTTTTGCTAGCCCTTCCACCACCGTGGAGATCTGCTAATCTGACCATGGCGAGATGTGTGTCTCAGAGAATCATATACTCCATTTCACATCAGTAAAGCAGCTGGGAGCTGATGCCTTGAGCCAGAAAATAGGCACATCATGATTCGACAGGAATGGTCTGCCCAGCTTCACAGGCTTGTTGGTAAAATAATACAGTACAGCTTTCCTTTTCAGAAGAGATGCTTTAGGGCACTGTGTTTCTTACGCTCTCCATCCCCGATACAATTATTCCTTTTCTTAGGTTTCTTGCTGACCACCAGACTTCCTCTTTTAAACACACCACTGTGTAAATTTTATCCTAGGAAGACTTAGACACACTTAACACTATGTCCTCAACCCACTAATCCCTGTTTATTGCTTTCTGTAAGGCACACAGCCTCTGCTGACCAGGAACAAGGCAGTAAGAAAGAAAATTACAGGAGGAGACACACCCTGAAATAGATAGGCTCAGCCAAGTGCCTGCTTAAACTGCCCGCTGCGCCCCTGGCTGTTTCCAGGCTGGTTTCTGAGTCTTGCTGCCGGTCGACTGCCACTTCCCACGTCTCTCTTGGTTAGTCTCTTCACAGGTGTAAACCCAGAGCAGGATGAGGCCCTGGTTCCTCTCTCCTAACCTGGGGCCATTAATCACAGCTCCAGCATCCCAGGAGTGCTCACTGGGAACTGATACAGGGACATGAGCTGGAGAGCAACTCTGGGGCTCTACCCTGCACGTACCGGGTAGGTCAGTGCCTCTGTCACCAGTAAACCTTTACTGGCTATCTTAGATGCAGAGATCACATTCCTGACCCCATTTGTTTCTGTGGTTCAGCTCAATTACAAAGCTTTGTAGGAGAAGGGAGTGTGTTTGGTTTCCTCTTTCCAGCCAGGGATGTCCTCTGCACCCCCTAAGCCTGCCTC